TGGTGACTTCTCTTTGATCCTCCATCTCTTCCTCTGATTTAATGGTGACTTCTCTTTGATCCTCCATCTCTTCCTCTGATTTAATGGTGACTTCTCTCTGATCCTCCATCTCTTCCTCTGATTTAATGAGGATTTCTCTCTGATCCTCCATCTCTTCCTCCATCTTAACTTTGATTACTTTAAACTCTGTGAATGTTTCCTCAGCAGGACTTTCCTGCTCCTTCTTAAGGGGTTGCATTGAAGACATTTTTACAGCAATACTCTCCCGTTTTTACCCGTATTTAACCTAACAAAGGAAAAGCTAACGCTACCGCTGCTCGGTGCTTTTCCGCGTGTTTCACTTTGACTGTACTGAAGAAACGGTACGCGAGCTTTTTGTTCCGCTTTTAATGTTCCGCTTTTAATGTTCCGCTGCATCTTTCCTCTTATAGTTATACAATTATATTAAGTAAATCAGAATATTATTGAAAGGTTAATTTATTTTTACTTAATTCACCCAAGTGAATAATTACATAAATAAATGCAGGTTTCCAAACCTTTTATTTCTGTTAATTATGGGAAAACGCAGCATTTATGATTTGAACGTTACACTATACTGATTAATAAAAAATGAGTTTGGAGCCCTCACTTCAACAAATGTGAGCTTTTTAGTTAGTTATCCAAGGGTACTTCTAATCTTACGAAATCACCATATTGGAACATATATTGTAATTTTTGCGTATGATCTTTCTAGTTTGTAAAACAGAGTCTGTTATTATATCTAGTTGCAGTTTTGCAAGTTATGATTCAGTATTAAAGTTAAACAGTGAATAACAACATATATTTCAGAGGAACATAGAGATTTGTTCATTTGACTTGAAAAGATCGAGAACAACTGAGTGTCTTGTGAAAAAAGGTTCATGTTGTCATAGGAAGAAGTGAAAACATGAAAGGTAATTAATTATATTCTTCAAAACAGGAAAAGCATTCTGGTTATTTTGAAAAATTCTTGGCCTGTTTTTTCATGTCTAATATATTTTCATTCATATATTCAGCTCTGTAGATACCAAACACACAACGTACTAGTTTATAAACTGTTCATTTAATAATAATGATATTTTATGAGTGATTAGCGAATCATAATGCAGTTATTGGTCCAACTAAATTAAACACAGTCATAATTTTATTGATTGTGATGTGGAAAATGTGTGACTTTGAAATGTCTCATAAGGGGTTCGGTCAGAGGAAACCATAATTTAAGACGGTTAAGACATTTAACTATATAAATGTATATATGTTACAGTTATAAATGTAACATTTAAATGTTACATCTACATGTAAATGTGAATTTCCACATTCAAGCAAACAAACAAAAAAACAAAACAGCAAATATCTGATGGGCATCCATCAGGAATCTATTAACATTATACACCAAAGATGTAGCAAGTACACAGCAATTTACACTCATTCAATACATTAGAATATTACCTAAAAGCCCATTTAGTTCATAATCTTTATCACCAAGTCTAACACGTTATATGCATTAAAAACACACAGATGGATGTTTGAAAGCCTTTATTTCTCAAATGCTGAAAACATTGTAATCAAAGCACAATTCATTTGTGATGCTACCAATACATACAGTAACAGCCAACATGTATCCACTAACCAAAATCATGAAAAAAAATACATACAACAAATAATAAAATACGGAGGCCCACAGGGAAATGGCTAAAGGGCAATTCCACCTATTTATTTGCTACCTTCAGTAGCGCCTATCACTTGTGTGACTTTGCATATGACCATTGAACTGAGATTTGGATTGGAAGTCCCACAAGCCAAATACTTTTCATCACTGTGAGTCTTTCTGTGGTAAATTAGGCCAATTTTATTAGAAAAGCTTTAATCACAACTTGTACATGAGAAAGGCTTCTCACCTGTGTGAGTCCTCATGTGACGAAGTAAATAAGATTTTCTTGGGAATTTTTTTCTACAGGTCACACACGAGAAAGGTTTCTCATTTGTATGAATCATATTGTGACGCGTTAAACTGGATTTGTGTCCAAAATACTTCCCACAGTTCACACAGCAGAAAGGCTTCTCTCCTGTGTGAGTCCTCATGTGATAAGTTAAAGAAGTTCTACAGGCAAAACTTTTTCCACAGGTCACACATGAGAAAGGCTTCTCTCCAGTGTGAGTCCTCATGTGATAAATTAAAGTCGCGTTACTGACAAAACCTTTTCCACAGGTCGCACATAAGAAAGGCTTCTCATCTCCGTGAACCATCATGTGACGAGTTAAATATATTTTGCGTCGGAAACTTTTTCCACAGTTACCACATGAGAATGGCTTCTCTCCTGTGTGAATCATCATGTGAAGACGTAACTCAAATTTTGTTCTGACACTTTTTCCGCAGGCCACACACGTGAAAGGCTTCTCACCTCTGTGAATCATCATGTGACGAGTTAAATGTGTTTTGCATCGGAAACTTCTTCCACAGCTTCCACATGAGAAAGGTTTCTCGTCTGTGTGAATTCTCATATGAAGATTTAATGATTTCTCAATGAAACGTCTCCCACAATGAATGCATGATATCCGTTTACTTGTGTGAGTTCTAATGTGAACATTAAAAGAATTTTTTAGATAAAATTTTTTTCCACAGGTTGTACATGAGTAAGGCTTCTCACCTGAATGAAGTCTCATGTGAATTTTCAAACTGCTTTTTTGACGGAAATCTTTTCCGCAAGTAACACATGTGAACGGTTTTTCACCTGTGTGAGTTCTCATGTGATAAATTAAACTAACCTTGGATCTTAAACTTTTTCCACAGGTAGAACATGTGAAAGGCTTCTCGCCCGTATGAGTTCTCATGTGACTAGTTAAGTAACTGTTTCGAGGAAATGTTTGGTCACAAACTTTACAAGAATATAATTTTTGGTCTGGTTGAGTTTTCTTGTGGTTTTTTTGTTTTCTTCTTTCTCTTTTTTCCTAGATCTTCAGAATTGCTTCTTTCCTGATCCTGGTTTTCATCCTCAGCAGAGTCATCAGAGATGAGTTGGTTCCTCTGTGGTTCTGTTTCATTGTGAATTTCTTGCACATTATAAGGATTCACAAAAATGTCATCAGTCTCCTGTTTTAGCACCAACTGCTCTTCATCCTGACCGATGTGGAGTTTATTCTCTTCTTTGAACTGTTGATGTCCTACTTCATCTGCAAATAAAAAAAACAAAAGATTTTAAAGGTGAACAGAGTATTAAAGCCTTCATTTTAATCACTTTAAGCCTTTTCTCGGATTATTCTCCAATTACAAACTTATAAATAGACAAATGAACTTAACCAGTGAAGTTCTTCCGATGGTGACATATCTTGAAATTAGTCAAGACATACTTTGGATCTCCAGCTGAGAAAGCAAGACAGCGACAGCTTAAATCTTTCTGACCTAAGTTTCAAATGTCCGACTGGATAGTTTGGTTTATTTTCATTGTAAGTAATTCTTTAAAAGTCCTGTGAATAAATATATTTTCCCATCTATCCTTAACAACTGGAACTTCCAATTTTCAGCAAGTTATTTTCACGCACACACACACCCACACACACACACACACACACACACACACACACACACACACACACACACACACACACACACACACACTTCTCCAAATATGATGTCCTTTGCCTTTAACGGTCTGGAAACCTCAACTTCCTCAATGTCCCGTTCCTATGGAGACTCACTAGTCTGAGGAACCTGAAGTTCCCGTTTTTGTGATTTTCCAATGTTCTGTCCATTTTACTTCTCATTGATCGTATTCAGTCACTAAGTCAGTCTACATTTTTAAGATAGTTGAGGTTAAAATCTTCTGAGCTCATAAACAACATTAAATGATCAACAATTTAACAGAAAAACTAGATACACAAATAGAAAAGAAAAACTAAACTATAACTTCAAATAGACTCTATTTAAATAATAAATGTACATCCTGTAAATCTCATGTATGAGTTTATGTATCATTTCCATGAACCTCAGAGTAAATTGATCATGGCCTTGATAAGCCCACAGTTGATCGTCACAAGGAAACATTCACAGATTTCTGTATAATTCCTGTAATTTTTAGGGCTGCAAGTTAAATATTATGGGTTTGAAAACAAGAAATTGTGACTCCATTCTTATTGGTCCAATAAGACAAATTGATATTTGTCCTTAGAAGCAGCGTTCGAAGACTGTTACTCAATTAGTCAGAGAATATCACACACACACACACACACATACCCCCCACACACACACACACACACACACACACACACACACACACACACACACACCACACACACACACACACACACATTAGTGTGAGATGAAGAACTAAAGGAGGAACTCGGCCTCCGTCAGAGAAGCAGGAAAGAAACACATCCTCAGGGTGAATCTGTTTCCTGCAGCCACAGTTCAAATTTTAATGTTCAGATAAAAAATGTCACTGATTTTACAGACTCAGATACATTTTTTAAAATGTGTATTTATTTAGAATGCCTAAAAAGAATACCAAATAGATTTTTATTTGATATTGTTGATATATTTCTGCAAATGTTGGCTTTATAGTTTTTCATTTCAAAATTGTATATATTTTAAAGTTTGCTGTTTGTGCTCTTGTTTTGAATATTTTACATTTTTGCTCACCAGCCGTTGTTATGTCTTTGGCTATCAGCCTTTTGACTGAGAAAACTATAGATTATCAATAAAATAGTTTATAAAAAGACAATTAAATATATAATTAAATACACATAGTTAAACTCAAACTTTAAGCAGTACTTTCTTAATCTGGTTGGTAAACATGAGGGTGTCACAGAAACTGTAAATGTCATTTTATGTGATGAATAATAGTCCAGATCTCTGCTGATCATTTTTAAGTATTTAATGTTTTTTGTTGCAGCAGATTTATTAGAGTCTTTTAGTTTGGAGTAAAAACTCTTTGAGTTCAGCGTTTCTTAACCAACTTTCAGTGAATCGTGAAGCTGTTTCGTACCTATCCGGTGCAAGATGATCTTGGGTATCCGGGTAAAATCCATCAGTCTGCGCTGATCGTCCATCTCTTCCTCCATCTTAACGTTGATTTCTTTCCACTCTGTGAATGTTTCTTCAGCAGGAGTTTCCTGCTGCTTGATAAACTCTCTCTGAGGCTGAACTGAAGACATTTTCACTGAAAATATTCACATATTTACCTCAAACAGTGAATCTGCATGCAGCTTTCCAACATGCCGTGTCTCCCTGTGTCTCACTTTGGCTGAACTGAAGAAACTGAAAACAGGTTTCAGTTCTGCTTTTCATTTTCCGCTCCAAGACACATTTTTACATCACAACTATATAAAATAAATTAGAGTATTATTGAAACGTTAATTTATTTCAGTAACTCAATTCTCCTGATAGAATATATAGAGTCATTACATACAGATGGATGTTTACAAAGTTTTATTTCTGTTAATTGTGAGGAAACACGACATTTAGGATTATAATATTACATCAGAATGATTCATTTAAAATCACTCTGAATGATTTTAAATCATGATTTTCAAAATCTTCTTTTATAAGATTTTCCTAATCTTATGAAAGGACCATAACATATATTCCAATGTTTTAAATATTCATCATCTATGTATGAATAAACTGTATAGACTATTTAGTTTGTAAAACAGAGTCTTTCAGGTTTTTTAGGTTGTGATTCAGTGTTAAAGTTCAACAGCGAGCGACTTCATATGTTTTAGGGGAACACAAAGATTTGTTGTTTTGACCTGAATAGTTGGGGAATAATTTACTGTCTTGTGGGGAAAGGTTCATGTTGTCACAGGAAGAAGTGAAAACAATTGTGAGAAGATGAGAAATCACTTTAATTAAAGCCATTAAAACAATAAAAGTATTCCCTCATCTTGTCTGAAGAGGAAGCGGCTGATATGATTTCAGATGTAAGAGAGACAGAAATACAGGAAGCAATTAAAAAACTGGAAAGCAATAAATCCCCAGGAATACCTGGCGAATTTTATAAATGTTTCAAAAACATCACTAATATTAACCAAAATCTTTAATTAAGCACTTAAGAGGGTGAAATATCAAGTTCCTGCTCTGAGGCCATCATTTCAGTTATTAGTTATTAGAGGCAAAAATACTACAGAACACAAGATTTCACTTTTCACTGATGATATTTTGACTTGTACAGCCGGTGATGTCTGTTCCCTCACTCATGGGGGAACATGGTGAACCTTCGGGTTCCCAAATCAACCGATCCAAATCTGAAGCGATAGTAATACACTGACCTGTAAATGTAACAGATTGATACAAATTAAATTAAATATCCAACCAGGGATTCAGATACCTAAGAATTTCCAAAACTCCTCAAGCACCACAACTTTGGTGGAAAAGTTTATTTACTTCAGTAACTCAATTCAACTTTAGGAAACAGGTTATCTATAATAATTACACACAGACTGATGTTTTCAAGCCTTTTAATTTCTGTTAATTGTGATGTTCTGCTTGAATTTATAATTACAAAGATCCGTTAGGATCTCGATGTTGTGAATTCAAACAGTTTCTTGTAAATGAGGTAAAACTGATGATCATTATTTTCTGATTTTCTATTCTTCTTATTGGTGGGCTACTCGTTTTCATTGGCATTCTTTTCTGTTGGAAATTTAGCAAGAAAACGCTGAAAAGAAGAAGTGAGGAATCCTTACTGCTCTACTTCTCATTCTGTTTTCTTAATTGACTGGGAATATGAATAACCTGCTGGTTGTAGACAACCAGAGAATCGCATGCTCTCTGATGTACATGTAGTTCAGAGACTCTCAAAACCTTTAATGCAAAAGTTAGAAGTTTGACTAGATTTTATCTTAATTAGTTTATATTTATTATCTCTGCTGACTCCCAGAAAACAGGAAGAACAAATATAGAGAAAAAGAAGTTGCCCAGCCAGATTCGTGAGTCTGTACTAATTTGGTTTTATAGTTGCTTACATTTCAGTTTAATGAATATTTATCATTTTTGTACATTTGCCTAACCCTAACCATTTTCAGGTCAGTACAACAAGGTATAAAAGTTATTTTAAATTGTTGTTGTGTTATAAAACTTTTTGGCTATAAAGATGTTTGGACTTAAAAACTCAAATGATCAGACGAATCTGTTTTATTTAATTGTTGATGAGCGACTGACCTGTTTTCTCTAGTCTGAAGTTTACAGTTTAAATTGATCTTCCACAGTTGGTCCATCCAGTTTAATATGAACATTAAACTGGATGAGGTTTTTGCTCTAATAGACTAAAGGATTTGAACCTCTTACTTTTTCCCAGGGAATTCAAATTTCACAGAATTTCTTTTGTTTTTAAAATTTGAGAAACTAAGAGTCCACACACACACATGCGTGAATATTTTAAATGTTTATTTTACAGAGTAAAGTTTGAATAATGAAATTAAGCTGCAGAAATGCCAGTTATCTTTGGGAAGGAGCTGTAGTTCTTCTAGTTGTCCAGCAGGTGGAGGCATTTCTTAGCTGAAAATACATTCAGTGTTTATAAATGATGTTTCCTCCATGAACAAACAATTTCATCCAATGAAAATAAGCAGCTTTGAGTCAAACTGGTGAAAATCTTTGCAGTAATGAAAACATCCTGAAATCTTTTTGTTTGTTTTACTTTAGTATCTAGATAGAAACAAATATTTTTCTGTCCAAAAAACAACAATGTATTCTGTCTGGCTATTTTTAAAAAACAAACCCAAGTCAGTATAATTAGGTAAGCTTTTTTCTTTGTTAATCTGAAGGAAAAAAATGCATTTGCTTTTTCTCCGTGACTAAATGATGCTAAAAATTCACCATGAGACCAGAGGCCTGGTTTTCATAGAGGAAACTTTGATGAAGTGTTTTAATTTTCCTTCAATATAATTTTTTTCCCTCTTTGTTCTGGGAAAATAAATTGGGAATTATTTACTCAAATCTGCATCAAATATCCACCATCAGATATCTAGAAAACCTCTTGAGCTGATTGTGTTTTGAAGATTTAGCAGCTAACAAAAATGTCTTCAGTAAAACTGGGGACCATAAAGGCTGATTTCTGCTCCAGATAATTGATTCTTCCACGTTCAAACATGATGTAAAAACAGGTGAACTTCACTGTCTCCATCAGTGACGTTATAAAATGATCCTCTGTCTCCTCTCAGAGGATGAAGATGATCTCCAGGATCCTGCTGCTCCTCATCCTCAGCTCATGTCGCTGTGGTCAGTCTCCGGTCCAGAGTGACAAAGACGTCCTCGGAGAAGGACGAATCAGACGCCACGATTCCAGACTGAGGACTGAAGACTCTGGTCTGTATCCTTGTGACGTGAAAACTGAAGATCTTCAACTGTTCTCTTTATGGAAACAAAAGTCTTTCTGAATCTCTGCTCTGTGTTTATAATCAATATCTATAATTTCCTATTTAATCTCTTCCCAGCAGCAAAGAATCAACCTGAGACTTCAAACTGGATCATGAACCAGGGAGGAAGAGATGGACTCTACTGTGTTCTGCTGCTGTTTATATTTGTGAAGGTTTTCGTAATTTACTATGTGCTTCGTGCAGAAGGTTTTATTCCAGTCTCTTGATTCCAGCCAAATCATCTTCAGTTTACGTCGTCTGGAGCAGAATGTCGTGACGTTTTCAATAAACTCAAAATGTTGTAGTTCAGCAGGACGTTGTGCTGAACTACACTCTCTGAGTGTTCCTCAGAGATCTGTGAGAATAGATCTGGTTACAAAGATGAAGTGAAACTATGAGAAATACAGATTTATTTTAGAAATTACTGATCTGACAGATTTTACACTGTTGAATATGACAAGGAGCAGAAAATATGTTGATGAGGCAAGTTTTTAAAATATTTGTCAGGTTTTATGCTTCTTATATAAAAGCCTTTAATTCTTTGTTTATTTGTTTTTGGCAAATTATACCAACAAATACAGCTGAACATGTTTAAACATGTTTTTACCTGTAAAAATGTTTGAATCATGCTTTACTTTCTTTACACTTCACAATTGTAAATCACTCAAATTTCAATAAAATATATTTTTGTTTGTGGTTGTAAGGCAACAAAATCTGGAAAAGTTCAAGGAGAATAATACTTTTACACCCCAATATGTGTCCAAGTGTGCATGTGTGTCTGTTTCAGGATTTCTTACCTTTTAAGCCTCATTTTTCAAAAATATATGGCATTGTGAGGACTCAGGTCTGTTTCTGAGTGAGGGGTCAGATGTGAGACTCAGGTTTGAGTTTAGGCTACAGATTACTGTTTTTATGCTCTTTCTAATGATTTACGTAACAGTCTTCTCTTATAAATGAGACAATGAGTCTCATAAGATTTTTTCAGATAAATTATTATACAAAGGAATAAAAAATTGATTGGAAATCAATGCACGTTCCTTGTGAAGACAGAAAGACATGCTATATGTGTGTATGAACTGAAGTTAAAGTGTTTGAAGGTTTCTGATGAGGATGACTCTTCAGCAACACTTTGTCATTACACTAAAGGAAGCTGCAGATTTCACAACAAGATTTGCATATAAAACCTGTTAGCTCTGCTTCAAGGTCGACCTCATTCTAAACATGTTAAACTTGTTATTTTGACGTCAGACTGAAGATCGAACAGCAGTGCTGCTATTTCTTCTGATGGAATCCTTCAACTCAATACTCCTTCATTGAAAGAAAATGTGAGTTTTATTTTTATTTTGATTCTGAATTGATTTTTTTTTCTGTCAAAATGACAACTGAAGAAGCTCCTGCTGCTCTGTTTGAACCAACTTCATAATTGAATCTATGGGTTTAGTGTTTTCATGGTAAATGCTCTCAGTGTTAATGTGTGCTGATAGTTTCTGTTTGTGTATCACAGCTGGAGCTCTGATTGTTTGTTTTCAGGGCCATTTACAGCCTTTTTTTGTGGAACTCCCTTTAAATATAAATTATAAATGATTTTTTTTTGTAATGTTCTTTTCAGTACAGAGATAGGGCTTTTTTTAGCTGGCTTCACTGGCCTGTTGTCTTTAATAATGATTTCAGAATGTTTTTTCAGACTTGATGTTGCTTCTCAAACTGGCTTTTCTTTATTGTTGGATCACCTAAAGAAATCAAATGTATTTTACTGCAGATCTGGTCTGACGTGCAGATCTTCATACTCTGCTCTAACAATAATTCAAACTCTTTGGAGTTTGAATCACTTTCTCCATTTGAAACTGTTATGAACCCAAATGCTTACTCTGTGTTAGAAGCTCTGGGCTGTTGCACATTAGATTACTTTATTCAACAGACTCATGGTCCACAAGATGCGCAACAACACGACATACAAAACAAAAACAGGGAAAAATAAAATATAATAAGTACACATAAAATATAAATCCTATAGAAGACTTGTATAGCAATGTTTCCACAGAGCCGATTGGTATCTTAGTGCACTGACAGAGGGATGTGAAAACATTGTTTCGGCAAAGTAGATTTCTTTTTAAGCCAGCATATGATCTACTTCCTTCTCTGTGAGTTTGAGAAAATCTAACCAAACGAGTTGGACCAGGGAAGTTTGGAAAAACCCTTTGTTGTTTGGTATGTCTTGAAGTTACTACTGATAACTTTGAAACACCAGGTCCAAAAGTTTTTCTACTTTGGAGAAATCTAAGCTACAAAACATTTAATTGAAATAGTTTCAAAAACATTCAGTACACTTTCAATATTTTACAGGAGTAGTAGAGATTATATATTAAATATGATCAGACTGAAGATTTTATAGACATTCAAAGAATGATTTAGGAGTCAATTTAAATATTTAAGCTGCTGATTGGATGTTTTGCATTGAAGTCGTCATTAAACCACTCACTAAACTATACTGCACAATATGAATGCAGTCGCTGAATAAAGTATCTTCAGTTTAATTCAACTGGAGTTAGATTCCAGAAATATAAAGTAAAATCTCACAACATTGTTTTGCTGTAGATTCTTGTCTTTGTATTTATTGTCATTTTGTGACAGAACAAATACATCACAGAATGATATCATTCATAAATAGATGTATGAGAGAAATTACATTTTGATGACATACAACTTTTAGTTTATTATTGCTATTACTATAAAACACCTTCATAATGCATCTATTTATATATTTAAAAAAAATTAAGATTTTTATTAGCATATATTAAAATTTAAGGAATTTAATAACAATTACTAACTTAGATACAGAGTTCAGATTTAAGTTCTGGTGTCAGCAATTAATTTAATTTCATCTCCAGTCCAATCTGTTGTCATGGAGACAGACCGAAGATGCTGTCCAGAAGAAGAGACAGAGCACATATTTATGAATGATTAAATATTTGTGTTTATTTATTACCTGAGAATTAATTATTACTTTAAGTCAAAAATTGCAGTTGTTCCTCATATTGTTAGTGATGATGATCCTGATGTCCTGCTGCCTCTCCTCCTCTTCCTCTCTCAGGATGAAGATGATGTCCAGCATCCTGCTGCTCCTCATCCTCAGCTCATGTCTCTGTGGTCAGTCTCCATCTTGTCTTTGTGACAGAAAGCTCTCTAGATGGAGCTGAAAGACTCCCATGTTCCAGTTCTCAGTGTGTCTGCTCCTCTCTTTCCCTCTCTGTCTCCTCAGCAGCAACATTTGTAGTGAATGTGACACAGAGCAGCTATCAGGCAGAGGAGAAGCAGAGCATCACTCTGGAGTGGACCTTCACCACCAAGACTCACACATCGACTGATTCCTTCTTCATAAGCTGTGATCTGATCACTAATCATGGAGTTCTTGCCCTCTATCATGTATATAAAGGTGTTGAGCTGTCAGAGTCTCAGGATGATCAGTTTTCAGGACGAGTCCAGAGCAACAAAGACGTCCTCAGAGAAGGACGAATCAGACTCCATGTGTCCAGACTGAGGACTGAAGACTCTGGTCTGTATCTGTGTGACGTGATGACAGATTATGGAGTTGGGTCTGCAAAATGTCAAGTTAAAGTTCACCTTCAATCTCGGATGGAAAAGAAACAGGGACATCTCTTGTCAGTTTTGTCAACCAAACATAACGTCAAACCTCAGGGAACGACTGTGAATCCACAATCAAAGGTTTGGGGACGGATTCCAATCTATATCTTAGTAGGACTGACAGCAGCATTCCCTGTAGCTCTATTGGTCAAAGAGCTGCTTCACATTTGTTCATCTACAGCAGGGGTGTTAAACTCCAGTTCTCAAGGGCCACTGACCTGCAGTTTGATGTGCCACAGGTACAAAACACAGAAATGAAATGGCTTAATTACCTCCTCCTTGTGTAGATCAGTTCTCCAGAGTCTTGCTAATGACCCAATTATTCTGTTCAGGTGGTGCAGCAGAGGCTCATCTAAAAGTTGCAGGACAGTGACCCTCGAGGACTGGATGTCGACACCCCTGATCTACAGTATCGATTTTAACAAAGCTACCATAACAACTGTAGGCCTTGCTGCATGTTTCAGCAGCTACATTTGTAGTGAATGCGACTGTTGGAGTTCATTCATCTTGTCTCTGAGCTCCAGCAGGTTCGTTAACCAGTTTCAGGACCCGACCAGAACCCCTGAGTGTAAATGACCTTGAGAAATAATAAGATCTGGTGAAATATAAAAGAAATATAAAAACAGGCTTGAATGCTGAAAAATGATCAAATGTTACAAGCCATACATGTCCTACAAATGGAGCAGATACAGAGTTTCATTCACCGTCCAGAACTGTGCCACACTTGGCTCATCTAAGGGTGACACCAATATTGTAGCGAGTTTAGTTTTTATTCTTCTCTGCGGTCTGTTTCCCCCCTGAAGGAGTCTAACCAGTTTCAGTCTGTTTATGTAGGACTGATAGCAGACACACATAAACATGGTTATGTAATGGCAACGTGTGCATGTAAGCAGATAAGAAAGGATGAAAGCGACAGAGGAAAAGATAGAACCGACAGCATAACACAGAGCAGCTATCAGGCAGAGGAGAATCACATCATCACTTCAACTGTCCTCTTTATGGAAACTTATGTTTAAACAGGTTTGAGTCTCATGTTTAAACTATAATTTAAATAGAGGGATTATCAGTGGACATCATGCTGAGTCAACACCCACTGCACATCTCTGCTTTTACATGAGCAGCACAAAATCCCTGCAGTCAAAATGACCATTAATTGTGACCATCAGTAGAAATTATCATATTTTATTTGTCATTTAAATGCTAAATATAAATTACATTTTTAATGAAAATGTACAGTTTCGGGGAAACTCATTCCAACTCATTATGAATGTTTATCTTATTTAGAGGGATTCTCATTAACAGCCGATGATCCTGCTGTCAAGTCAAAGTTCATTTATGCGACACAATTTCAACAACCTCACCTGATCAAAGGGCTTCACAAAAATCTAATCCTAGGTAGATTAATGAAACAAAAAAAATCAGACTACGTTTGATAAAATAATAAAAACATTTATAAAATTAGCAAAAAAATATCAAAAACTGAATAAAAAACCTAGACATACAGGGTAGATTTATTTATCTCTTTTTTTCTACCTCAGGCAGTCTGACTTACTTGAACAGATTTTAACTACACATCACCTAAGCGGTTCCCAGAACTAGCAGTCCTCTGGGGTTTCTCTTTTATAATAAAATATTTATGATCTCATTGTTATTACACTACCAGACATTACTGTACTATTGTGAACTAAATAAAACGTATCCAACCTGCAACACCTTTGTTAAGTCATTCAAACTTATCTGTGTAAAGTTCTTGTAAAAGGAGAATTTGAGATTTTCCTACAGCTCATGGTTAGATTGTATATTAGGTCACCATAAGCTCCCATCTGATGGAAACTAACAACATTTAGCCACTACACACTCAGGGATAGAGAGACTTCTCGCATACACACATTGTTACTAATGTGTCACTAATTTATATTCACCTCTTAGACATGAGAGCAGTAAGTGAAGTTCGTTGTGCTGAATTACTCGTGTTCAGTATGTCCTCTGGTGGTGAACTGCTGACACTACATGTTGCTAATCACAATATTCTATTAAGCAGAAACAAGAAAAAGACCATAATTACGGCAAATAATCTTTATCTGAGAATTATGAAGAAAGTTTTTTCTGCAAGTAATTTTTCTATCTGTAATTCAAAACACATCATCAATACAGTTTCTATCCAAAACATAAAAACCATGTCACAGACAAAAAAAGACATGGGCAAAAAACGTTACAGTTTAAGAAACTAACACGAATAAGGTCATTGCAGACATTTAAACAATCTAAAAGGGAAAACATATCTGATCATTATTTAGCACAATTTAATTTCCCACCCAGCAGCTTTGAAGGTCCTGAGAAGTGTGACTTAAGCCATATCTCACTCAAAATATCCCTTTCAAATGGAAAGATAAAACTGTGAGAACAAAGTGAATGTTTAGTATTTCAGTTAAATCTCCTATTTGAAACAACCAGTTACATTTAATAATGTGATCCAGCTGCAGTTACTCTTCTTCTGAACAGCAAGTTACTGAGAATCCTGGTACATGAAGTTCACATTATTCCATAAAACTTGTGTGTGTGTTCTCAGGTGGACGGTTAAATTTGTTTTTCGAGAGAAATTTTTTCCACACGTCTCACAAGAAAAGGTTTCTCATCTGTGTGAATGCTCATGTGATAAGTTAGATTACATTTTTGATTGAAACTTTTTCCACAGGTCCCACAGGAGAAAGGTTTCTCACCTGTATGGATTCTCATGTGATAAGTTAGATTACATTTCTGACTGAAACTTTTTCCACAGGTTCCACAGGAGAAAGGTTTCTCAATTAAGTGGGACTTCATGTGATAAAGCAAACTAGAATTAAACATAAAACATTTTCCACAGGTTTGACAAGAGAAAGGTTTCTCACCTGTGTGAATTCTCATGTGAGCAATTAAACTTTTTTTGTGTGTCAAACTCTTTCCACAAGTCTCACATGAGAAAAGCTTCTCACCTGTGTGAATTCTCATGTGAAGAGTTAAACTCTTTCTTTCACTGTAACTTTTTCCACAGGTACCACAGGGGAAAGGCTTCTCACTTGTGTGAATTTTGATATGATCCTTTAAATTGCCTTTTCGAATGAAACATTTTCCGCAGGTCCCACATGAGAAAGACTTCTCACTTGTATGGATTCTCATGTGAGCAGTTAAACTTTTTTTATGACTTAAACGTTTTCCACAGATCTCACATGAGAACAGCTTCTCACTTGTGTGAATTCTCGTGTGAAAATTTAAACTTTTTTTATCTGTAAAACTTTTTCCACAGGACCCACATGAGAAAACCTTCTCAGTTCTATGAGTCTTCATGTGATAAGTTAAACTGTATTTTTGAGAGAAACTTTTTCCACAAGTCGCACATGAGAAAACCTTTTCACTTCTATGAGTCTTCATGTGATAAGTTAAACTATATTTTTGAGAGAAACTTTTTCCACAGGTCCTACATGAGAAAGGTTTCTCACCTGTGTGAATTCTCATGTGATTAACTAAATCAGATTCACACACAAAAGATTTTTCACAGGTCGCACATGAAAACGGCTTCTCAGCAATGTGAATCCTCATATGACGAAGTGAGTTATATTTACTCTGGAAACCTTTTCCACAGGTCCCACATGAGTAAGGCTTCTCACCTGTGTGAAGTCTCATGTGAATCCTTAACGTGCTTTTGTAATTGAAACTTTTTCCACAAGCCACACATGTGAATGGTTTTTCACCTGTGTGAATTCTCATGTGATTAATTAAACAAGCCTCTTGACTGTATCTTTTTCCACAAGTTGAACATGTAAAAGATTTCTTGTTTCTGTGATTTCTCATGTGTTTAGTCAAGTATCTGGTTCGAGAAAAGGTTTTATCACAAATTTTACAAGAATATAGTCTTTGATCTGGGTGTAATTTCCTGTGTTTCTTTTGGGTTGAACGGTCAATTTTGCTTTCCTGTTGTTTGGTTTTATGACATCCCTCATTTTGTTCCTGTTCTTCTCTCTTTGTTGAGTTTTCAGAATAGTTTCCTTCCTGGTCTGGAGTCTCAACTTCAAGAGAGATGAGTTGGTTCCTCTGTGGTTCTGTTTCATTGTGGATTATTTGCACATTAGAAGGAATTGTCAGAGTGTCATCAGTCTCCTGTTTCAGTACAAGATTCTTCTTCCTGACTGATGTAGAGTTGATTCTCTTCCTCTTTGAACTGTTGATGTTCTGGTTCCTCATACTCTTGTTTTATGTGCAGAAGTTCTGGTTCTTGTTTTATCTGCAGAGGTTCTGGTTCTTGATTTATCTGCAGAGGTTCTGGATCCTCTTCATCTAAACTGGAGTTTTCCTCCTGGTTGCTAGGCTCATTGAGAACCTCCTCCTCTTTACACCCGGCACTGTGTGTGTGTATCTGGACAAAAAGAAGAAAAAAACATCTTTTAAATTTGAGTAAGAGAAAGATTCCTTCACTTTAATGTCTTTGTGTATCCAAAGGGAATTTTTTGGAGTTATTCTAACAAAGGCAGTTTGTCTGACCAGAAGGGAACATGTGAGATTTTCAGGTGAATAAACAAGCATATCTGTCAAGTTTTAGTTTTAAAAATAAAGGAAAATTTTTGGTAACACTTTATTTATTTCACGGGGTGTGTATAAGACTGACATGAAAGTCCATTAAGACTGCCAACATTGGATTAAAAAAGTCATTATGTATCGAATGACGCTGCATGACAATGGTCACAGACATTCATAAAGACTTGTTCATGTTTATGAGGGTGTCATATCAGTCTTATGCACACACCATCAAATAAAGTGTTACCAAATTTCTACCGGGTTCTGAAAGCCGTTCCACCAGTCCAACCACGACTGGTTTTACAAGACATTTAAAATAACTACCTGTCAATAACTTATAAACTACAATCAGGTGCTCAGAATCTGATGTTGATACTGAAATGCTGTGGACATCCATGAGGATTAAATCCCTGCAACAAAGTCATTTCAGGCAGAAATTACAATTCATTGTACGGAAAATGACTTAACCATTTTTTTTTTGGCAGAAAAAAGATTTTAGCTTTTTCTCAGAATTTTTTGTTGTGACACAAAATGCATTCAAACATACAGAGCATGTACTGTGTATAAGACTCCCAAACCTAATTTTCTAATTTCTGAAATTAGAAAATTAAATAAAATACCACAGTAGAAAAGTGGCATTTTACTATTTATTATTGTTATTTTATTTAGCTACATGTATCACAGAACAGTGATCATGAAGTGATTCTAAGTCTAAGCAGCCTTAGTGCAGATAACCCATGAAAAGATACTTTTACTGCTATAAGCACATTAGATATTTAAATTGTTAAAATGACTCTCATAGAGAGAACATCCTACATTTTAGGGAGAGTAGAAACAAAGATAAATCTTTATTGTCATCAAAACTTACAGTTTTATGTCCAAGTTGTAATTTTCCCGTTGCTTCTGGAGAATATGCTAAAGTCCTTGGTGCTATTTCTGCAGAAACTTGCATGATATTCAGACAGAGGCCAAGAAGCAGTTAGCGTTAAAATCCCACCATAAACGAAGAACCATATTTCTTTGTTGTACTTATTTAATAGAGTTTAGAAAAACAGTGACTAAGTGCAAAGCCTATAATAAACTCTTTCCAAGATGCATATAGTTCAAAATAAAATAAATTTGTTTTAAAAACTAAAGGTCGAGACAAATATTAAAAACAATTGTACTTCAGTTAGAGGAGTTCAGATGTGCAGTAATTGTTGTGAAGAGTAAAAACCATATAAATAATTTGCTAAACAAATACTACTTTGATGATTTAGATGGATTTTTGTTATACGTTTAGAAAATACACAGAGAAGATTCTGCTGCTTTAGAGATTAATGTGTCCTGGATTAGAAACTAGAATCTATTGATGTGATGAAGAGCAGATTGTCCAAATCACAGCTGATTACAATAGACTTATAGTTTCATACAAAAGCCGTTTAAATAACCTGATTAATCAGTAAACCGTGAAGCTGTTTCGTACCTATCCGGTGCAAGATGATCTTGGGTATCCGGGTAAAATCCATCAGTCTGCGCTGATCGTCCATCTCTTCCTCCATCTTAACGTTGATTTCTTTCCACTCTGTGAATGTTTCTTCAGCAGGAGTTTCCTGCTGCTTGATAAACTCTCTGAGGCTTGAACTGAAGACATTTTTACATTAAACACTCACAATATTTACCGAAAACACCAAATCCGAGTTCGCACAACCTTCTAACAAAGGAGAAGCTAATGCTAATCTCTCTGTGCTCCTCCGAGTGTTTCTGTTTCTGCACTGAAGAAACTGTGAACGACTTTTAGTTCCGCTTTGGATTTTCGGCGTTGTCTCCTCTTTTAATGTAGCGTCAGACTAAATAAACTAGAATATTGTAGAAACTATTTCATTTCAATACTATATATAGAATAGTTATACAGACTAATGTTTACAAGCCTTGTTTACGTTCATTATGATGGTGTTCTGCTTACAGGTTAGAACTCTTGCATTTATAAATACAAACTTATTTTAGGATCTATTTAGAAATCACATTAATTATGAGATCCTGAAACATCTTCTATTGATTTTTACTTTAGTTTTTATAAAGATGTGTTAGACTTTCTGGTGGCAAAATGTTGCAACTACATGGTACAGTCACCATAAGTGACAATAAGAGAATAATTCACATATTGAAACATAACAGTATTCTCTTTAAATAAAATAAATTAATAGACGATGGAGTGTGATTATGTACACCGATTTTGACACACAATCTTCTACTAAACGAAATAAAGAAAAAGATCATAAATATGGTAAATACACTTTATTATCAAGAATTCAACAGACATTTCCTTTGAAAGTAATTTTTCTGTCTTTAATTTCATATCATGAAATTTCTACTATCCAAAAGAAAAAGACCATGTCAAAGAAAAACTGACAAAAAAAAGACATGGGTAAAAAAAAAACTACACTTTTACAAGAGAAGATGAAAAAAGGTAATGCAAAGTCAAACAAAAGGGGACAGAATTTCAGACCATTATTTAGCACCATTTCTTTCCTTAATCAAAACTTGAGAAAACAGAAAAAAAGACTTGATTCATAAAACATTACTCTCATTAATATGTGACACTAACTGTACATGCAGTAGCAGCTAACATGCATCCATTTCCCAGAACTATTGAAATAAAAGAAATAAGTACAAAGGAAAAGGATAAACACACAAAGTCCCAAAAACTTTACAAATCTGAAAGCATTCAAACCATTAAACCTCAAAGAGACTATTACTATATTCCTTACTCTCATAAGAAAATATAAATGTCAACATAAGGTTGCAAGAACAAAGTAAATGTTAAAGTGTTTCAGCTAAATCTCTGATTTGAAAAGCTTTTTAAGCAAAGCTGCTACATTTAAAAAAAGCAATCCAGCTTTATATAAAGCACTTCCAAACAGCAAGTTGCTGAGAATCTTGCTACTTGAAGTTCACATTATGCCATAAAACTTGCATGAGTTCTCATGTGAACAACTAAATTTTATTTGAGCAAAACTTTTTCTATAGTACGCTCAAGAGAAATGCTTCTAACTCGTGTTAATCACCATTGTAACCATATCTGGTAACCATATTATCTCTAGATGTGACCAGTCTGCTACTGATGGTCCTGGCTTCTGTTTTTCTACTGACTGTTATACACATACCTGGTTAATTTCAGTTCGGACTACATACATGGAACAAATATACATAACAGTACCCGTTCAGTGAACTTTAATAAACTTAGACTTTCAGAAAAACATTATCTACCACCCACAATTAATGTTAACAGTTCACCTGAAACCCTTAATATGGCTCTTTTAAATGTCCACTCACACAAATATATATATATATATATTATAAATGAACACACTTATGGTTAGGTTTCTTTCCAGTGTAATGGCTCCTGCTTGTGGAAAAATCTGCCAGAGAACCTGAGGGCAGCAGAAAATGTTGCTGTCTTAAGACAGAGCTGGCTCAACACCCGACGCTTTAACCATTCCCTGGATTATTTCTGTGCAGGGCGGGTAATTGTTTTATGAGTTTGTTTTTATTCATCTGCACAGCACTCTGACTGCCTTTAATATGAAGGGTCCTTCATAAATAACATTGACTGACTGATTGATTGATTGATGTGATGAAGTAAACTCGATTTACACACAGAACATTTGCCACAGGTTCCACAAGAGAAGGCTTCTCACCTGTGTGAACTCTCATGTGGGCAGTTAAATTGATCTTATGAGCGAAACTTTTTCCACAGGTCTCACAAGAGAAAGGCTTCTCACCTGTGTGAATTCTCATGTGATTAACTAAGTGTGAATTGTACACAAAACATTTTCCACAGGTTGTACATGCCAAACTCTTTGCATCTGTGTGCAATGTCATGTGAGAAGTTAGACTTTTTTTATGAGTGAAACCTTTTCCACATGTTCCACAGGACAAAGGCTTCTCACCTGTGTGAATTCTCATGTGACTAACCAAGTTTGATTCATACACAAAGTCTTTCCACAGGTCCCACAAGAGAAAGGCTTCTCACCAGTGTGAAATCTCATGTGATCAGTCAACTTTTCTTTGTCAGTGAAACTTTTTCTACAGGTCCTACACGAGAAAGAATTCTCACTTGTATGAGTTTTCATGTGAGACTTAAGGAGTTTTTTCGAGCAAAATTTTTTCCGCATGTCCCACATGAGAAAGGTTTCTCACCTGTGTGAATTCTTATGTGATTGTCTAAGTCGAGTTTCCTTCGGAAGCCTTTCTGACAGGTCCCACATGAGAAAGGCTTCTCATTTGTGTGAACTCCCATGTGATTAGCTAAGTGAGATTTAGACACAAAATTTCTTCCACATGTCCCACATGGGAAAATCTTCTCACCCGTGTGAAATCTCATGTGAACAGTTAAATTTCTTTTATGATTGAAACCTTTTCCACACGTTCCACAAGAGAAAGGCTTCTTAGCTATATGACTCAACATGTGCTCAAGTAACAGAGATTTACACAGAAAACCTTTTCCACAGGTTGTGCATGTGTGAGGCTTCTCACCTAAGTGAAGTCTCATGTGAACTTTTAAAGTGTCTTTGTGATAGAAACTTTTTCCACAAGCTGCACATGTGAACGGTCTTTCCCCTGTGTGAATTCTCATGTGATAAATTAAACGACTCTTGCAAGGATAACTTTTTCCACAGGTTGAACATGTGAAGGTTTCTTGTGATTTCTCATGTGTGACGTCAAGAAAATATTTTGAGAAAAGGTTTTATCACAAAATTTACAAGAATATAGTTTTTGGTTTGGTTGAACTTTCTTGTGTTTTCTGTTTTGAAGTCTCAGTTTTACCTTTCTGCCGTTTATTCACCAACATGCCATCAGTTTTCTGTTTCAGCACAAGCTGCTCTTCATCCTGACTGATGGGAGCTGCTTCTCTTCCTCTTTGATCTGCAGAGGTTCTGGTTCCTCTTGCTCCTGTTTTATCTGCAGAGGTTCTGGTTCCTCTTGATCCTGTTTTATCTGCAGAGGTTCTGGTTCCTCTTGCTCCTGTTTTATCTGCAGAGGTTCTGGTTCCTCTTGCTCCTGTTTTATCTGCAGAGGTTCTGGTTCCTCGTCATCTAAAGTGGAGTTTTTTTCCCGGTTGATGGGCTCATTCAGAATCTCTTCCTGTTTACAGCACTGTGGGAAATCTGGACAAAAAGACAAAACAAAAGCTTTTAAATCTGAGTCAAACAACAAACCCTTACCTGCTCTTAGATTATTCTAATATTACAAACTAAACAAATGAAATAAAACTAGATGTTAGTCTAGTCATTATGGACTTCTGGGTAAACAAGCAAGATAGCAATGAATTAAGCTCGTGTCACCTTAACTAAAAAGTCTCCTTCCTCTATGTACAAACAGAATATGCATCAAATTGAGCTTTTGGAAGAAATGCCTATAAAAATCTCAAACGGCTTTTCCATTTTTATTCTTTCTATTGGCAGACTGAGAAATTATATTCCCTGATTGTCCTGAAGCAGTAACATGACTACACTGGAGGAAGGTGGGTTTTCAAAGAAAAGAAAAGAAAGTTCTTAACTCTATACTTGGCGAATTTCAGGGAATCTTATGAGGATGACACTTATCTAAAACTCTGCAGAAGAAATTTTCAATGATACGGTGACTCAAAGACTTGCAGTCTGTAATCAACACTTTTATGATTTAAAGCACTTTGATCTGCCTTGTTGCTGAAATATGCAGTAGAAATGAACTTTGACCATGTGTGGCATTAGCTATTCCAACAAATGTGTGCGAAGCAAAATAAGGAGGTTTCTAACAATACATGCTCATGCAGGATCATCCTGGTTTACTGAGGCTGCACAAACTATTCAATGAAGGTTTAATTTGTTTTTAAACTACTTGTTTAAAATCATCTGAGTGTTTAACTCAATATCAATCTATCAACAAATTATAGAATTAGCGCTATAGTTACAAGATAGAAAAGAAAATGCAACCTAAACCAACTTGAACCAGGATCTTTTTAAATGGTGGACAAAAATTACAAACTATGATTTAGATATTGTAATGAACAGTAAACAGGTCGCAGTTGTTCATTTTAAGTGTTTAATTAATTTCCAGGTGGAGCGGATTCGTTAATCCAAAAACTTTTCAGTTTGAGTTCAGCATCGCTTCAAACATTTAACCTGATTAATCAGTAAACCGTGAAGCTGTTTCGTACCTATCCGGTGCAAGATGATCTTGGGTATCCGGGTAAAATCCATCAGTCTGCGCTGATCGTCCATCTCTTCCTCCATCTTAACGTTGATTTCTTTCCACTCTGTGAATGTTTCTTCAGCAGGAGTTTCCTGCTGCTTGATAAACTCTCTCTGAGTCTGAACTGAAGACATTTTCACTGAAAACACGGAAATCTTTACCGAAAACACCAAACCTGTTTTCAAACCGTCTAACAAAAGAACACTAAGCCACCGTGTGCGTCGTGTTATTCAGTGTGTTTCACTTTGACTGTGCCGAAGAAACAATTCTTTTGTTCCGCTTTCAATTTTCGTTGAGGCTCCTCTTTTTTATAGAAGTTATATTAAATAAATTACACTATTTTGGAATTGGGTTACAAAAATAAATTAATATTTGAATAATATATTAATTTACTAACTAGAAATGTATATCAAGAAGTGACTAACAGCGGATCTTATAAATACTTCATAGTTTCTGTGGGACAGCCACAGTGAAACACGGGGAAGATGAAAACAGAGCACACGGGCTAACATTAGCTGTTCTTTTGTTAGACGGTTTGAAAACAGGTTTGGTGTTTTCAGAAAATATTTCCGTGTTTTCAGTGAAAATGTCTTCAGTTCAGCCTCAGAGAGTTTATCAAGCAGCAGGAAACTCCTGCTGAAGAAACATTCACAGAGTGGAAAGAAATCAACGTTAAGATGGAGGAAGAGATGGACGATCAGCGCAGACTGATGGATTTTACCCGGATACCCAAGATCATCTTGCAGCGGATAGGTACGAAACAGCTTCACGGTTTACTGACTAATCAGGTTAAGGAAAATGTTTGGTGCGACGTCAGTCTATTTAAACGGCTTTTATGAAACTATAAGTCTATTATAATCAGCGGTGATTTGGACAATCTGCTCTTCATCACATCAATAGATTATAGTTTCTAATTCAGGGCACATTAATCTCTAATCCACCAGGTTAAGAAAGTAATACTAAGAGTTTGTTTAAAATTTTTGATTTAATTATGTATTTCTAGGCTATTCCACCCCGCATCTGAAAAATATTTTTGTATCATTGAATAGCAACGGAACACTTTGGCGCAAACATGTTTGGTGCGTCGTGGAGCCACTTGGTTAATTATCAGCATCTGACTGACTTGTTGATCCCTTCCAGTCAGAAAGACGAAAGTTTAAGTTAATTTATACATTTGTAATTTTAGTGGTTGGATCTCTTGAAAAGGCTTGAAGTGATTAAAATGAAGGACTCATTCTTTTACTTACATTTAAAAGCTTTTGTTTTGTGTTTTTGTGCAGATCTGCCACAGTGCTGGGTGTGTAAAGAGGATGAGGATCTAAATAAATTCAGCATCCAGGAGAGGAAGTCCACTTCAGATAAAGAGGAACCAGAACCTCTGCAGATAAAACAGGAGCAAGAGGAACCAGAACCTCTGCAGATAAAAACAGGAGCAAGAGGAACCAGAACATCAACAGTTGAAAGAGGAAGAGAAGCAACTCTGCATCAGTCAGGATGAAGAGCATCTGGTGCTGAAACTGGAGACTGATGACATTTTGGTGAATCCTCTAAATGTGCAAAGAATCTACAATGAAACAGAACCTCAGAGGAACCAACTCATCTCTCATGGCTCTGCTGAGGATGAGAACCAGGATCAGGAAGGAAGCAATTCTGAAGATCCAGGAGAACAGAAAGACGAAAAAACAAAACACAACAAAAAATGCCAGAAAGGTAAAACTGATTGTTCAAACCAAAAAAGGCTCTTGAAAAATCACAGAGTCCAAAAGTTATATTCTTGTAAAGTTTATGATTAAACCTTCTCTCTAATCGGTTGCTTGATCACACAAGAAGTCTTTCACATTTTCAAAATGTGGAAAAAGTTTCAGTGAAAAGAATAATTTGATTTATCACATGAAGATTCTCACAGGTGAAAAGGATTTCTCTGGTGAAAACCTGCTTGTATTAAATCAGCAACATAACATCATGACATAGAAGAGAGATAGTCATAAAATTAGTCAACAGCTGTATGACATCCTGACTTGGCGGTTAACCAGTCAGACCATCATCAAGGAACAGGAGGCAGGTTTCATAGTGGACTGCAGTCAATTACACTGTGAAACCATGACAATGCATTTATATCAATCCATCATCAATAATCTATTTATTGACTTTCTCTTGTATCTTGTCACAGATGCTGAACTGACAGCACCTCTTAATGCGCATTTGTACTCAATGCATGTCAGCTATTCTGACAGAATAACGGCTCAAATTTATGTTAAAGGTCAGTGTTAGCCCCGCCCACAGCCCGCCCTCCACTTTGATTGGGGAATTATTTTATGGTGACACTGCAGGAACTGGAACCAGGCGATGATAATAATGAACAGAGCAATCAAAAGCATATTTAATAATTGTCTTGACTGGCTGCTAAGTTTCTATTTTAATAATGTAATGACATATTTAATAATTGTGTATTAAATAAACCCTTTAAATAATTATATCATTTTCACCTTTCATATTTAATCTTCCAAATTGTCCAATATTCATGTCAAATATTTTCAATAGGACCATTTTGCCATTATTTTCTGCATGTGTGCGATTAACAACAATCACCCACTGTTATCAGTTCTGCTGTGAATCACAGGAAAGTAAAGGCTGAGATTTATTTGTGCTTTTGAACATTTGTGTTGAGTGTGTGAGTGGAGCAATGTCTGACAATATCAGTGGGTGAGATTAAAATACCATTAAGTGTTTCGCGTCAGGCATTTTGTCATTCTTTAACGAGATATATATTCTGTTGCTACTTGGAGGAAGAAAACTTTTTCTAACATTAGTCAGGAAGCCTTTGGATTAAGCTATCGCCATCTTGTTTGCTCACCTGGAGATCCATAATATAATATTTGACTCGCATCTAGTTCTATTCTGGTCAGAAGAACCTCATTGGTTGAGTTAATTTTCATTCTTGTAAGTTTGTAATTTTAGAATAATCCCAAAAAATTCTGTTTTGACAAGTTGAGGTTAAAGTGAAGAATTTCTTGTTTGATTGACGTTTAAAGGCTTTTGTTTTTTCTGTTTGTCCAGATCTCTCACAATGCAGTAAAGAGGAGGAGATTCTCAATAAAACAGAACTGCAGAGGAACCAACTCATCTCTCATGGTTCTTCAGAAACTGAGAACCAGGATCAGGAAGGAAGCAATTCTGAAAATCCAGGAAAAAAAAGAAAGAAACAAAATAAGTACAAGAAAGCTCACCAAGGTCAAAAATTATATTCTTGTAAAATTTGTGATGAAACATTTTCTCAAAACAGTTACTTGACGAAACACATAAAAACTCACACGGGAGTAAAACTTTACACTTGTTCAACCTGTGGGAAGAATTACATACGAAAGAATGGTTTAATTTCTCACATGAGAATTCACACAGGTGAGAAGCCTTTCCCTTGTGGGAGCTGTGGTAAACGTTTCAGTCATAAATGCAGCTTAAAAATTCATGCGAGACTTCACACAGGTGAGAAGTCTTTCTCTTGTGGGACCTGTGGAAAAAGATTCACTCAAAAAGGACATTTAACTTATCACATTAGAATTCACACAGGTGAGAAGCCTTTCTCTTGTGGGACCTGTGGAAAAAGTTTCACACTTAAAGGACATTTAACTCGTCACATGATAATTCACACAGCTGAGAAGTCTTTCTTTTGTGGGACCTGTGGAAAGAGTTACAATCATCGAAGTAGTTTAACTCAGCACATGAGAATTCACAAAAGTGAGAAGCCTTTCTCTTGTGGGACCTGTGGAAAGAGTTACTATCAAAGAACGACTTTAACTCGGCACATGAGAATTCACAGAAGTGAGAAACCTTTCTCTTGTGGGACCTGTGGAAAGAGTTACATTCACAGACACAATTTAACTTATCACATGAGAATTCACACAAGTGAGAAACTTTTCTCTTGTGGGATCTGTGGAAAAAGTTTCACAAATAAAGCCGGTATAAGTGATCATATAAGAATTCACACAGGTGAGAAGCCTTACTCTTGTGTGACCTGTGGAAAAAGTTTCACTCAAAAAGGACATTTAACTCAGCACATGAAAATTCACACAGGTGAGAAGCCTTTTCTTGTGAGACTTGTGGAAAAAGTTTCACCCATAAAGCCGGTTTAACTGATCATATGAGAATTCACACAGATGAGAAGCCTTTCTCATGTGGGACCTGTGGTAAAAGTTTTAGGATGAAAAAACATTTACTTAAACACTTAAACATTCATATGCGTGCTTAACAGTGACGTGCGGTGAGGCTTTACGATGTATAACAGACACCATGTATGTTATTGTTTACATACAGAAAGTTTGCTCATTCATACAATGCTGGAGGGCAGAAAGACAGTTCTTTTACATGTCATCCATAGCTGCATTAACTAGATGAATCTTAGAAATGTAGGTATTAATTTTGTGGGATTATCCGCAGCAAAGGGAGAAACCTAAACCCTTTGCTGTGTATCACCCAAGCTATATGCAGACTCTTTGCCATAGCAATTGACAACAATGCCACTTTATGTTTTAGGATTTAATACCAAAAATAAAATATTCAAGAATTTTGCTCACAGAACAGAACATTGAGTTTGTTGCAGTAGTCTGTTTTGTCTTAGTGTTTTATTAAATAATGATTTCTGTGGTAGATTAGCTACTACTTCTACTTTACTGAATTCTTTACACATACAGACTGTGGCCCACAAAATGCACATTTTGTTAGAAAACTAATCAAAAACATTTTATTGCCATCTTAACCTTTACTTATAAATGAAAGCCATGCACCACCAATTCTGCACAATAAAGAACATCCAAAACCAAGCCTGTGCTCTGAGTGTCATGTATATTATTCTGTTTGAGAATCATCAGACTGTCTCGAAGCAAACCTTTCAGGTCCGGTGTTGGTCGCTTGCTGTCACTCTGGAGTTATGGAGTCACAATGTCTGGAATCTTGAGCGCCCCCTGCCATGAGGCAAGAGAACTGCCTGCCTCACGGTCATGATCGCTCCTCAGCACATGAAACGTGTTACACACAGTTGGTGACAAAAAACACTAAACATTATATACCTAAGCTAAATTATGGAAAATTGGTTCATATATTAAATGTTATTTTAATCGTTTCATTGGTGACATAGAGTCAGGAGGAGCATGCTCTCATTGAATGGCAGCCAGTGCAGGTAGTGAGGTTGATCTATCCCAGGTGAAGCTCAACTCGCTGCTGCCTCACCAGCTGCGCTTCCAAGAATGGGAAAACTCCAATAAATCAGCGAATTTGAGGAAATAAAAAAGCAAAATTGGTCAAGATAAATAAATACTTTTTAGTACAAAGCACAGAATGAAAATAGCAAGCCAAATAAAAAAATAAGCTAAATTATGGAAAATCAGTGTAAAGTGAAAATTGTGTTATTTCTTTTAACAATTTTATTAAATTATTTTAGTTATTTAACAATAGTATTGTTCAGTCTGATAAAGTATGTAGGCCAAGAACCAGTCAGATGGGTTTCCTGCTGACCTCTCTCTGCAGCAGTTGCAACAGACTGATAAGTGGACTACATGTCTCACCACAAATACCAAAGCAAGGCGCCAGAGTTTAACAGATAACAACAGATAGTTTAGGTAAATATAGTAAGAGCCCTAAGGTCTAACAAATTTCTCCATTGAATGTCAGAGGCTCAGAGTACGTACGAGGTCTGACAATGTTTTTGGTTTGCAAAAATGTTCCATTAGCATCCTGATTTTTGGAAACTCCCATATTTTGAACAAGAAGATGTTTATTAACTAAACATCTTTCAGTAAGGAAGAAGTTGCGTCTCTGTGGCTACATGTCTGTGCAGTAAACCTGTTCAACTGGAATTGACTCTGAGCCACGGCAGTGACCACGTTGTGTAAAGAATCCTATATATTGTGAGAGCTTGCAGCTCCAAGCCCGAGCTTATTGCAGGTACAGCTGCTGTGCTGTGGTTGCTGTGTGTTCTCCGTTTGCAAACGACAGAAATAAACAAATTTTCCTCTTTGCTATTTGCCAGAGTCTCAACCTGATCTGTTTCACACAGATTAGAATTATTTTTTTCCATGTCAGTTCATATGTTAAATGATTTTCAACCATTTCATTTGGCGACTGTTACTAGTATTATGTTTTGTTGTCACTCTTACATTAGTAGTTTATATTAGCAGTTTTTAATTTAAATTTAAAGGTTAGTTTAGCTTCTTAAGCTGCTACCCCCGCGACCCAACCTCGGATAAGCGATGGATGGATGGATGGATGGATGGATGGATGGATGGATGGATGGATGGATGGATGGATGGATGGATGGATGGATGGATGGATGGATGGATGGATGGATGTCAGTTTAGTGTTCTCACCCCAGAGAGGAGGAATTTGTTAAAGTGTGTGTAAAACATAACTAACATTTCTTTACCCTTGAGCATGTTTTTGCAGGTGGTCTTATCACCTTTAGGAGAACTTTCTGAGATACTCCTCAGTTGTAAAACTGTCTATGTATAGAATTTAGTTTCTGTGTTCCCCTTCATAATAGCCCCTTCTCTTAAGCTATAAAAAAGACAAGCTCTGAAGCAGAGTGTCAGTACTTCAAATCTCAAGTAAAAACGCACCTGTTTAGAATTGTATTTGAAATGTAATATGTATGGATTTGATTTTGTGGATATGTATGTAATCTTTTCTTTTTTTTCCTGTTGTGGACAACGGGGCCCGGCGAATACCCGTGGTTAAACGGACGGCGGAGTCCGGCGGTAACAGGCGCTTAAATTCCGTGACAAAGGGAAGGGGGAAGAAAGGGAAGGAAAAGAAAAAAAACAAAAAACCTTGGTATTTTATTCTATGTTGCATGCCTTTGTGTTTTGTGTTTATGATGTAAAGCACTTTGAAATGCCTTGTAGCTGAAATGTGCTATACAAATAAAATTTGATTGATTGATTGATACACACTGTGAGCGGCTTGGAGACACATTTTACTGTGTCTTCCCTTTTGCAACAGCTTGGTTGTGGTTCTTTTGGTTCCTGTATTGAGGGGGAAGCAATACGGGATATAACATTAGACTGTTAAATCACACACAAGAAATAAGAAAAAACCTTCAAATATGGCCCGTTTGCACAAGACCACATTTTTAGGATTTTGTTTTATTATTATTTTAATCATAAATACTGTTGGCATTAGCTGAGGAACATTTTCAAAATAAACAAAGATTAAAGGCTCGTAAAACTCCCGTTTGTGTGCAATTACTTTAATATAATGATTCACTCACTGAAATATAAGAACATTTTGTTAATGTTGTAAAATATTTAACATAACAGTTGAGCGGAAACTCAAAGTGGAAAATTCAAAGCGGAACTAAAAATCCTTTACAGTTTCTTCAGTGCAGTCAAAGTGAAACACAGGAGCCATCTCAGAGCGCACGAGGGAGCATTAGCTGTTCTTTTGTTAGACGGTTTGAAAACAGGTTTCCGTGTTTTCAGTGAAAATGTCTTCAGTTCAGCCTCAGAGAGTTTATCAAGCAGCAGGAAACTCCTGCTGAAGAAACATTCACAGAGTGGAAAGAAATCAACGTTAAGATGGAGGAAGAGATGGACGATCAGCGCAGACTGATGGATTTTACCCGGATACCCAAGATCATCTTGCACCGGATAGGTACGAAACAGCTTTAAATTTTACTCTGGAGAATTAAAAACAGGTTAAAGACAGCTCGAGACAATGTAGGAAACTTTCTGGGCCGATGTTTCAGATTAACTGGTTGAAACATTTGCGCGCCGCAGATGTTTCTGAATTGTAGGTGGCTGTGTGGATGCCTGTTGAAAAATGCCTCTTGTGTGACAAAACCGTTTGCAAAACATTATTATAGATCCCATTTGAAGCAAAAATGTTTAATGTTGCATTTGGAAAATTAGTTTCAAAGCAAGTTTCAACAGAGCAGCGTTCAGTGCGCTTCGAAAACACCGCATGGGAGCAGAACCAGATTAATGAGTAACACCACAATACCGAAGCTCATCTTGCAGCGGATAGGTACGAAACAGCTTCACGGTTTACTGATTAGTCAGGTTGAATAAAGTTGGAGATGTTTTAAAGAGGTTAAGAAGCGCTGAACTCAAAGAGCTTTTACTCCAAACTAAAAGACTAATAAATCCTCCGCAGCTGCAAACATTAAATACTTAAAAATGATCAACAGCGATCTATTAGTCATCATATAATATTATTCTATTATGATTTATTAATCATATAATAGGACAAGTACAGTTTCCGTGCCGCCTTTCTGTTTACCGACCAGTTTCAGGAAATACCTGGACACTGAATACTTAGGAAACAGCTTCACTGTTTACTGATAGACTGGTTAAACATCGCTGCATCTGAAACCTGTTTAAAGAATCCGCAAACATTATAAACATTAAATACTCAGTGGAGGCTGTCAGGGCCAGCAGGTTCTTCTCTGCTAGTCCTAAAAAATAAAAATAGTAAAAGTCTATTTTATAATAAATTGTATCTATAATTTATCTTTTATTCTACAAATTAGTTGCTTAGACTTAGACTTAGACTTAGACTTGACTTTATTGATCCCTTGGGAAGACTCCCTCAGGAAATTATAGTTACCAGCAGCTCACAGGCAAAAATGTGGCACACAGTAAGCATACACAAAAGAATACAAAAAAATACAAATTAAATACAAAACAAAGAATATAAATACAACACAAAAGGAAATTATAGCAATTTGGTGGATAGATTGACCAGTGATATGGTATTGCACTGTATGGTTTGGCCTGATAAATATGGAGTTCACATTTGTAGAAAAACTACTCCTTCTTCCCTCTGTCCTGTGTCACCTCCGACCCCCCAGTGAGGAGTTGTACAGTCTGAAGGCGTGGGGGACAAAGGAGTTCTTGAATCTATTGGTCCGGCACTTGGGAAGCAGCAGTCTGTCACTGAACAGGCTCCTCTGGCTGCTGATGACGGCATGTAGAGGGTGGCTGCTATCGTCTTATTGGTGTTATTGAGGTTGAATTTTACTTTAAAAAGTGCCTTAAACGCATCTCATGTCATTCTAAACACTTAGGCTTGTCGCGATCAACGATAAGTCAATTAATCGAACGATAAGTTAAAACTATCGACCTCATTTCAAATTGTTTATATCGTTTCTTCCTGCCTTTTCTCTTCCTGTTGATGACACTGAATGAAAAAAGGCTAAACTCCGGTGCTCTCCACTGACCCTCCCTTCCTTATTTCCTTAGTGTAATGCTC